AGCTGGCATTTCATTTACTGATTTGCATAAACAGTTGGCTATCAAGGCAGTAACTTATTTGCTGGGCTCTCAAGTCCTCGCAGGGACAAGAGGGGCTTAACTCCTCAAGTCAGCTTTCTTAATGTTATTGCCAGCAAAATACAATCTACATGAAATCACATCAAGTTCACGTAGCTCGATGATCTCTTTCCAGTTTGGCCAATGTTGATGAGTTCAGCATTAGAAGGCTAAGGACAAAATCTACATAGGAAAAATACATATAAATAAATCAAAAAGGCCCTCTAAATTCTAAAGGACTAGAAAAGATCTCAGCGTCAACACCATCTAATCTAGTAAATAAAGAGTTCTGTAGAACAAAAGGAGAAAGGATTAAATGTCCCCCTGCCATTCTTCCAGTTGAAAAATCATGCCGGTTCTTGGCAATTACTAAAGATGTCAGTTACCCCTCTCTCCCCGTCATTCTCAATAGCCTCCCCATACATGTCTATATCCCTCTGCAAAACCAACTTCACCCAACATACAGATCGGGCTCTCTGATGGCAGCACCAAGGATAGGAAGAATTCCTGGTACCCACTATGCGCAATGAGAAAACTAACCAGTAGTGACTATCTCCCACTACTGACATCCAGTAAGATCTCTTGGAGAAATAATTTACTCCTCTTTTCTCCTCAAGCAAAAGGTCAAAAACACATGGCTCACAGACTAAGTCATTTGGCCTGCAGGTGCACACCTGTGTGTGTTCCTACATCTATCAAGAGAGAGATGCCACGAGCTGCCATTTTTGTAACATTCGTTTCCAGCTCATCTTGAGGATCTGGTGACACTGGGTCTGCATTCTTGGATGGCAGTTGTTACCTGGAGCAGAGGAGGCTGCTGCCTTGGACAGCATGTGTGCTGTCATCCCCATCACTCCCTATTGCTTCTCTTATTATACTAGGATGCTTCCTACTCCCAGGTCTACTCCTTCATGAAACCTATCGGGTCCCTGTTGGCTTTTGAGACTATGACTCCTGCTCTGAGTTAAGTTTCAAGGGACAGTATGTGGTGACCTCACCCAGGATGGGCAATCATCTTCAAGTAGTCAAGAAAAAGGGGGAGATGACCAAAATACACTCTCAACACTTCTACAAAGGTGGTCAGCATCAAGTCACAAAAGCTGACCAGAGCTGGATGCTGAAGAACTCCTCCAGGCAGTCACTTCTAGGTATGTTCACGCTTGTTTTTGTCTAAGTGCTGCCCAATGGCTTCCTGAACACAGTGATTATTGTTGCAGTCTATACCTCCTGCTCAGTTTTGTAGATTTAATTTCACAATTCTTTACGGGTCTACTGCTTCATTACTCAGCTTCAAAAAATGACAAAATCTGAGGCATCTTCTTTCTTTTCTCTGACAAGCTCCTAAGAATAAACCCAAGACCTTTCCCACACTTATCCTGGACTGATCTATAACCATTTCCCTCTGACACACACAGGGCCAAGAGAAGGCCTGAGGGAGGAGGGAACTAGAGCTGGGCCATCTGGTCTCACTCCTTGACCCAACGGGGCTCCTTTGCTCAGTGGATTGGGGTCATGAGGGTAGTGACCAAGGGCGCGGTTGGTAAGCAGAGTGGACCCCTTATAGCATTAGTGCCAACAAATCTAATACCGTCCATCTCCCCTCCACCATGTATCTAAATCAGTTGTTCCGCTTGGTGAAACCAGTACTTCATTCCATGAGCACTCATGCAGCACAACTCTGGACCCAAGTACTGAGCTGGTACAGAGTGGGTGACCACGAAGCCAGACACAGCCTCTGTCCTTAGGAGATGCGGGAGAGAAATGGAGACAGTTTGACATGGGTACTTTATAACACAGCACAAAGTCAGGCAGACCTAGGAGTCCCAGATCTTCAAGGGTAAGAGAGATATGCGTGTTCAAGGACACTCAGGGAAGAGGACAGAGCTCAAGCAAAAGCCCAGAGGCAGGAGAACATGGTGTAGACGCAGGCGGAGTGAGTTGGGGGCATTCGGAAAATGAAGGGCTGGCGGGATGACAGTGGGCCATGGTTATGCTCTTGTGGAACACAGAGCAGAGAAGGCACCTTGACAACGACACGAGAATCCACCCAAAGCTTTTGAACAGATGAGCTACATGATCCGATTTCATTTTAATTTTGCTTTATTTTCACTTTCAGGAAGACGACTGACAGCAGGATAAGAAGGATTAGAGATTTTGAGTCCCTTCCACACGTGACACAATATGCCAGACACATCTGGACATTAACAAATGAATATGTTTGTCTTCAACGTGCCTGCAGTCTAGCAGAGGGGAGTGGGCAGATTCTCGAATAACTTAAATATATATTGGAGGAGGAGCCAACTTTGGTGTGCTCTAGGGTAGCATCAAATAGGAAATGAAAAATCTATATATTTTTCAATGGGCAGAAAAAGGGGAAGGAGGGGCTGTTAGAGGGGAGAGAGACAGAATAAGCGAGGATGGGAGACAAAGACAGTCAGGTGAGGTTAGCTGGTATCCTGTTTGGCCGAAGCAGTTATTCTGCAGCTAAGCTGAACAGGAGAGAAGATTCTTATCAGGGAAGGCTTTGAAAGTGAGGTAGCTAGTCCTGCCTTCTATGTACGTGGTGGGCAGCAGAGCTTAAGTAGTTCTCAACTACTGGACAGACTGGAAGAGAACAAAGGCAGAAATACCAGTCCGGACAGGGCAAGAATCAAATAAGCACTACCCAGGAACTGAACCAGGGTAGACACAAGCCACAAGAGGCATTCCAGAGGAGACTCTCAACATGCTCTCTCTACCGATTGCCTGGGAGGAGGAGGAAGTTTCTGGAAGGAAGAGGACAGAAATTAATTCCTAGGTTTCAAGCCTGGGTGATAAGGGAGATAGGAACTCCCTTAACAAAAATAGGGACATCATAAAAGAAAACTGTTTGTGGACAGATGATATACGAAGGCTGGCTTTGGACACACTGAGGTGACAGCTCCAGTGGGACATTTATATGGATGTGTGTTACGAAGCATGCAAGGTGGTGGGCTGGACATGAAGAAAGGTCAGGGCAAGGAGGTATCCAGGAGATATCTGCATGGAGGTCATCCTTAGGTCCCACAGAGGCAGTATACAGGAGTGGTTAGGGGCTCAGACTCTGGATTTAATTTCCTGTTAGTAGCCATCTGACGTATGTAATCTGACTCTGAGCCTTGTTGCTCTCATCCATAAAACAAGGACACTGCCACCACCTACCTCATAGATGAGCTGTATTAAGTGTCATAGGGCACAGGGAAGCACCTAGCGCATGGTGGCATATGAGGAACACTCCCTAAGTGTCAGCAGCTGCTAGTAGTGGTCTAGCAGTGACCAGGAGAAAGAAAAATAAGATCCTCGTGTGTAAAACCTAAGAAACACTCAAAACACCTCGCTTACGAAATGTCTTAGGGGACTGGGGAAAGACAAAGAGATGGACAGACAGACTGTCTCTAATGTGTTGTCATAGAAACCAATGGGAGGAGGGAGAGGCAGCGGTGTCGCATGCTTCAGAAACTTTGAGTCCGGGACAAAGATTGGTGTCTGAACCCACAAGGAGTCTTCCACTGGCAGCCTTCCATGAAGTGGTGTCAGGAGAGAGGCAGGGGACAGCCAGGTGTACCCCTTTATCATTATTCCTCTTCATCTCCCCTCATCCCACCCACCTCCTTTCAAAAGGTACCAACTGAGCCATGGGGTAACGAGTCCCCACAACAGATTTCTGAGAGTGAAACTACCTGAAATTGGCATAAAAGGAACAAGCAATCAACCAGCCCCAAAGTGGAACGGACTGAACTGCTTCCAAAGCAACCATACACATAACTTTCAAAAGACCCAGAAAAAGCACACAATTCAAACGAGAGCTGGCCAGTTCACAGACTAGTCATCAAATCAGTGCTCTCAATGATTTGTCAGCCCCTGCTTTCTCCAACATCCTCATGCCAGGATTCCCATTTTCTACTTCTGTTACTTGCCAATCTTTGAAGGAAGAGACAGCACACAAATTCCTCGAGATAGAGACTGGAGTGTTAGGGAGGAAGAGGGGAAAATTGGATGCAGATACATATTTATAATTTATCAATTAACTTCTCCCTTCACTCCTGAACAGCTAATCCAATTTGAGCTGGCGAGCCAGGGTCTCAGGTCTCAGGTCTCTGACAGCTTTGATTAGGAATGTATGAGTGAGCTATGTTACCCAAAGGTGCAAAGTGCTGAAAGGCATGTCAGAGAGCTGGCATACGCCTCCCCTTCTTCCTGCCCACCTGGCAAGAGGCTGGCTTTGGAAGTCAAAAGCCTGTGTTCCCTCTTTCTCCTCTTCCTCCTTGCAGCCTAATTAATGCATTTTCATCTCTATGTTCTTCCACACCCTCCCAGGCCCACCCTTCTCAGCCCAACACCCCCATTCAGAAATTTCCAGCCCCCACATATACAGGAAACACAACACAGAGTAGAAAAGGGCAACCAACAAATATCCCCCAAATTCCACATTAAATACAATTTCAGGCAATTTGTCAACCCTCTCCCTTTTTCATCTATCAGCTTTTCCCCATCGATGTTATCCCCAAATTCAGTTATTCCAAGGAATGGCAACATTACACACCATTTCACACCACCCCTGTTCCCTCCACGCATGCACGGGGAAGGGATCTTAGAACACCCTGCCCGGTAGTAAAACACATCTTCCCCACACCACATATCCACTTTCAGAGTCACCGCCCTGAAACAGTACAGCATCGTACACGGGCTCATACTCAATTTAGAGACAGGCAGGCCCATGCAGGATCGTCCCTAAACACCGAATGTGAAGTGCCTTGAAGGGAAATAATAGCGTTGGCTTTTTATCCTTTTTCTTTTAATTAAGTTGTTAAAAACTATTAAGTTGTCATCTGGACTGTATTCATGAGAATCGACAATCCCTTGGATACACGAATATTTCAGAAAGCAGATTGATAATTATAAGGATAAAATAAAGTGATCTCTACCTTTACTTCTACCTACAGAAATGAAGTGAAGGTCCAAATAAGCAGGGGAAGCATGGTGTCCACCATGGAGGCGGCGAGAGAGAGAGAGACAGAGAGAGAGAGAGAGACAGAGCAAGGAGAGTAAAACATCAGCACACTGCAGACACGTAACACACACAACAGAAACGCACGACAGTAAAGGCAGCAGCATGGTAACATTCTGAGAAGGCAGAACAAAACAAACAAACAAAAAAACACTGGGAAACTTAAGCAAGCAAGCAACACTGACCAGCAGGGTCGCTTCCATCAGCTTCACATTTAAGCTTTGTCCCATTCATTTCTTCTCAGTCCCACCCTCAGAAATGACAAGGACTGCATGCAAAAGCACAGCACAGCCATGTGTATGTGAAATTGCATGCACTTACCCAATCTAAAAATGGTTATGGAACGTCTTGGAGAAGGTAGGAGCCCCTGCACTTTCCCAACATTGACATGAGTCAGGATGCAGAGGTGGTGCACGCACAACATACATAAACATTCCCATACATATGTGTAGGCATCAAAAAACAAATTATTGAGATTCAGTGGGGACCAGACAGAGCCTCTTTCTTTCATATTGAAGGAATAAGGAGAAGGGAAGGAGTATTAGTGGGAAGAAGAGGACTGGTTTCTTAGGTAGTTGTCAGACGGGCAAGAACAGACAAGGAGGGGAAAACGGAAAAGAATGAAAGAAGGAACACAGTCAAAGGACCTTCTTAAAAACAAATTCAACTGCAAGTTGCAACTTGAAATACAAGTTCCCATCACCCAGAAGAACTCTGCATCCTTTCTTGAAAACTTTCTAAAGAGGAATTCGCAAGATCCATATGTGTCACCATCTCTTTCCCTTTTTCTAGAAGGTAGCAGACTTCTGAGCCCAGAGCACAGTTGTGTCTGAATGTTCCACATACGTACATGTCAGTACTAGGTAAGGAATACAGGATACAATACAGACTTTCCAAATGCTTTTCATACCAGTGCTGGGATTTAGCCTTCCAAAATACCTATGCTGTATCAGTGTGTCTAAAATAAGCAAAGTCAAGGTCAAGGAAGTCCTCATCAGCCTATCCCATCTGCCATCCTCTGCCCGATGATGTCAGCCACATGATGTGCTTAGTCCTCCAAGCCACTGTAAGAGCTCAGAGAACTCCTGATGGGCAGCTGACAGCATAAGGCTAAAGGATATGGGAGGAGGTGATCAGGACTCTGAGGGCCTGCTTTTGCTAGTGGGTCATCAAATCCCCTCAATTCATAGATCTCAGTTCCTCCCACTTCCCAGAGATGGGCTTAACTCTCTCGAACTACCCAGACACTGGTCAACATCAAGCACATTCCCTGTCACATCCACCTCATAGTCAGTTGCTATTGGCACCTGCTTCCCTCACGCACCTGCAACCAGAGCACAGTCTTCATTCTCAGAGCCCACTCTACACTGGAGGATTCACTTGGCCTCCTCCCACACAGTTTTATTCTTTGCTAGCTGCTCTCTCTCAAACCATCTCTTTGTTAAATTTTTTGGAGTCCACCAGGGATCTTGGCTCAGGTCTGGAGGACCGGCTTAAAATGAAAAAGTAGGCTCCTCCTCACCCTGCTTTATCAATTTAGGGTGCTCTCAACTGTTCACCTCCCCAACTACCTGGACACCACAAACTAATTTCTTTTGTCCCTGAGTGGTTCCTTGATCTGATCGTGCTCCTAAAGGGCAAAAATGTCTGATGGACCCAATGTAAGGGAGTAGGAGAGGAGCAGTCTCACCCTCTTCTAAAGATCAGGAAAAAGAGAGATATATGGAAGTAGCCTCCTCCTTCCCTTTTTCTTTGGGCCTCCAAAAGAGGCACTGAGTCCCATGTGTGTTTTGCAAAGAAACAGACGAGAAAAAGTACAGTCTTTTGGTGACAGGGCAAGGCAGGTAGACCAATCTTGCAATCATCCAAGGCTCAGAAGAAACACAATAGTAGCAATTGAACTGTGAAGGAGAAGACAATTTTAAGTAGGCTTAGCTCTCAAATCCTGATTTAGGTTGATAATGTGGAAAATTTTTATTTAGGAGAAAAAGGCTTCATTCACAGCCCACCCTGTGCTTAGCTGAGCTGAATTTCCTGCACAGTTCATTCCTTGCATATTTGAATATTTTAGGTTGCAGATGCTGAATTTACAGATCTTTATATGCAGTTTTCTTCAGGGTGTATAATGAGTTAGAATCCTGCCATGAGGACATTAGCATGATCTTTAGGTGGTTTTTGCTTTTATGTCAAACCGAAAACAGGCAAACCCCCAAGGGCTTCCTTTGACCATGGAGGGCAGAACATCATCATGGAGGCAGCGGAATGGGAAGACAAAATGGAAAGCCTTCCTCAGAGGGAAATTTGGGGAGGGGCCCAGCTCCTCTTCCCCCAACCTGGGGCCCAGCTCAGGGGCTGGGGAGGAGCAGGAGGAAGTTAACCGCTTGGTTGCTCTGAAATTAGCCTCATTCACCCCATTATCGACGCCATCATGCCTGGTTGCATGCTTCCCTCTCGGATGCAGCCCAGCAGGGCCAGCACCAGAACAAACAGTGGTGGAGAATGGAGAAGCCAAGGGGACCATGGATGGGAAGCCACGATGCAATAGGGAGGGTGCCCCCACGCTCACCGCAGGGGCCCAGCCCACTGCAGGAGGAATAGGCAGCGAATGGCCGGCCAGCGATGGGGAAGAGGCGCTGAGTGACCAGCCAGCAGCACAGAGGCGAGTCGTTGGGACAGCTGCAGGACCACAAGCGCGAAGCACCTACCTTGTTCACTCATCATGAGGTGGGCGAGGCCTTGAGGAAGGAAAAGAAGAGGATGGGAGGAGAAAGGGGAAAGAAAAAGAGAAGACAAAGTTAAAATCCCAAATGCAACACCATCTTTCCTTAATTCCTGAGTTGAAAAAAGGAGGGTTGGGAGCCACACACATACTCAGGTGCATGCGACAAACCCTGATACCCCAGTACTTCTGCGGGCAGAAAGGCTGGCTCTCTGATTGAAAATTTGTTGAATTGCTCTAGGCCTAACAACAAGAACTTGCCTCTTACTGTTGTTCTGTGCAATCGGTAGGATTTGTGAAAGATGCATTAAAGATTAGGTCCCTTGGGGAAGCAGACTTAAGATGCCAGGCACAGTTGGTTTCTTTCTTTTAAATTACTTGTAATAGTAATTATACATGCTCACCGTACAAACTAAGGGAAATTCAGAAAAACAAAAGAAAAAAATCGGTTATAATCCCACCTTCCAGAGATTGTTGTCTGACTTTTTTCTCTAGATACTTTTTCTTTAAAAATTGAATCATGTTTAATACACCAAATAAGTTCCTGCTTGCAAGCGTCATGCAGTCAACTTTAAACTGCTTCTCCTATCACCTATCTTGGCCTAGTGACAACCATACCACACCCTCCCCTTCCTCCCCACCATCATCTTTCCTGGAAGGACCTCCCACACTTCATCAGCACAGACTGGGGCAAAGAAGGTACACAAAGTCCCAAAAAACAAACAATGGGCTCTCTTGCTATTCTTACAGAAGGCTATTAAGAGCTCCATTGTCCAGGAAGCATAAGCCCAGATACATCTATTAAAAGAGATGTTTAGCCAGGCTCAGTGACTCAGCCTGTAATCCCGCGCTTTGGGAGGCTGAGGTGAGTGGATTGCCTGAGCCCGCGGGTTCGAGACCCGCCTGGGCAACTTGGCAAGACCTCATCTCTACAATAAATCAAAAAACTAGCCAGGCGTGGTAGCGCGGGCCTGTAGTTCCAGCTACTTGGAATGCTAAAACGGAAGGATCGCCGGAGCCCAGCAGGTCGAGGCTGCGGCGGCCAGGAGCAGCCACTGCACTCCAGTCTGGGCAACAGAGTGAGACTCCAATTCAAAAAAAAAAAAAGACGTTTGAACAGGAACCAACTGCATCCATTATTTTGTATTGCTGCTATTTTTACTGGAGATATTTTACAAAATCCAGATCACCCCTGAGAACCTTTACTTCGAGTAAAATTCAGGGATAGAAAGGATTAACAACAAAGAAAAAAACCCCTAAAGTATGGAAATCTCTAAATGTTTTTGGAGATTACTAGAGATTTAGAAAAGTAATCAGAGGCAAAATAGAGGTCAAGCAACTGACTTTTAAAAGATCAATAATATATTAAATAGACACACATGCCATAAATGTCATGAAGTCTTTTTTTTTTTAAACAAATTGCATTGAACTAGAATCATATTTTAAATATTCAGTCCTAGCATTTATCATTCTGGGACCGGGATAAAAACTCAAGACAGAATGAAATAATGACAAAGCAAGTGATTTTCAGGATTTTATTTATTTATTGCTCAAAAAAATTAACTTGGAGTCTTTTTTTATTGAGGGGAGAGTAGTAAGGAGAGAGAGGAGAAAAGGCTCTAGAAATCTAGGAGAGAAACTTCCACAGAAATAACTATTTCTAAAATGCCTGATAGTGCTGAACCGAATCATAGCTTTCAGCTTCCTAGTCATGAGCAGGAAAGGGGAGGGATATGGGGGCCGAGAGACGGGGAGGGAACAGAAACAGAACAGGTGCATACACTCAGTAGGCAACCTTCCTCAAGAGAGTGGTCAGCTTTAAGAAATGCAAATAAAGAAGGTACAAAGATGCACCTCAGAGTCACACAGGGGACTGAAAAAGGAAGGACAAACATTTTGCCCCTGAAATTCAAGAAGTCTGGCAGCTGCAGGAGGAAGTCAGTAGGAAAGAGATGGAAGAGTCTTTATTTGACCCAAATAAACATTTTAAAAATTTACCAAATGAAGAGTGAGTGAAACACTTGGTAGTAAGAGGGGATCCAAGCCCTGGGAAAAGCCTGTACAGTTGAGCCTTAGCTTATGTGCACCTCTAAGTCTATTTCACTGATGACCTATAACAACTACCTGGGAAGCTTACTAAAAATGAAGATTCTGGGCCTTTTCAAAATTAGGCTGAGTGCAGTGGCTCACACCTTTAATCTCTGTATTTTGGGAAGCTGTGGTGGGAGGATTGCTTGAGCCCAGGAGTTCGAAATCAGCCTGGGCAACATGGTGAGACCTTGTATGTACAAAAAAAAATTTTTTAATTAATCGGGTATGGTGGCATGCGCCTGTAGTTTCAGCTACTCTGGAGGATGAGGCAGGAGAATCTCCTGAGCCCAGGAGTTTGAGGCTGCGGTAAGCCACTGCACTCTAGCTTGGGCAACAGAGAGTGAGATCCTGACTCAAAAAAAAAAAAAAGGAAGAAAGAAAGAAAGAAAAGGAAGATTCTAGGCTTCCCTCCAAATGAATTAGAATCTTGGGGAGGAGCTGGGACAAAATCTGAATGTTAAACAAGTTGCACAAATGATTCTCATGCTCACTGCAACTTGAGAGCTACCCCCTCCGAGTGGCATATAAATCAAATTTGCGTAAATTGAATTGTGTGATAAATGCACCAAGAGGAATTGGATATTTGCTAGAACTCTGCAGTGGATCCTTTCGCAAAGGGAAGAATCCTTTTAAAATGCAAATAACTTACCACCTGTGTTTTTAAAATTCAAATATGTACTTATCAAGTCTTATTAAGCTACAAATGTAGTTGCAGTATTGCCATTCAAATAAAACGTTCATAATCTTCAACTTATAAAAACGTTAAATAGAAATATTAGGCCAAGAAAGTAGATCTGGGATCCCTATGCCAGAACTTTGGTTTTGAAGGCAATAAAGCAAAACGGACATGAATAAGTGAAACAGGATGGGAGAGAGGAGAAACTATGTAACCTTGATACAGTTGGAATTTTATTTTGCTTTTTGAGGTGGGGATTTTATGTCAGTATCTTTTCACAAACTTATCCTTGGAGCTTGCAGAATTAAAAACTGGAAACCAAGAATTCTATCATGTCCAGGTCTGTTCTGAAATTCTGTTTCTCCTTCTTCCACCTCAAAACACACAAAGTTGAAACAGTCTCAGAACAGACTGTAAATCATGTGTAAATTACGTGTGAAATATACGTAGAGCCCTCTAAGCTATGTTACACCCTTTGGGAAAACACTCCTATTTGCTGCAAAAAATCTTGGGTCCGCCAGCAGTGAATGGAAGAACCAACCACCAATCAACCAAACCACCCAAGTACATGCTATCTGCAAAGACTGAATAAGGTGGTAGGGATGCAAGTATGGTACCTCCCCTTGACCTCTAGAAGTTTAGAATCTAGCTGGGAAAGGGAGGTGTGGGTATACTTACACAAGTACACATTTCACATCTATGCTGATACCTGACAGTGACACATAGGGGTTAAGGTCAAGATCTTCAGAGCTAAACTTGGTTTCCATCTCTGCTGCTTTCTAGTTTGTGACCCAAGAAAGCTGCTAAACATCTCTGTGCCTTCATTGACCTACTGTAAAATGTGGATAAGAATGCCTACTTCATAGGTTGTTTGGGAGATTGAATAATATATGTAAATCTGTGCCTGTGCATGATAAGAGCTAGACGGGTGGTTGTTATGCAGTAAAAATATACTGATGTGTGAGGCAGCACCTGTTACAGTGCCTGATACGTAATAGGTGCTCAGTATGTGACTAAGGAATGAATGGGTCATTGCTAGGTTTCGCCTGATGAGTTCAGACAGCAAGACCAGTAGGGACTGTGAGAATGGTCCTGGGTGCCCAGAAAAGGGTTTTGGACTACAGAGGGAGTAGAAATAGGCCTTGGGCTTAGGATTTAGATGGGGGACATTCCAGGTAGCCCCGCAAGCTTCCAAGACCACAAAGTGCATTTGTAGGGACTTTTCTATTCAGCTTTTCAGAAGTAACTAGGACACTGCCAGGCATGTGGTAGGGATATACTAGCATGCTATACAAATAAAGGGATGAATACATGCACACATTTCACACAAGGAAATAGTGAAAGATCATCCTAAGCATCAGGATACCCAGGCTTTGAGTTTCAAGGTTAAGGAAAATAGACATGATCTTGTAGGGAAACATCAAGGGTCTATGGACAGGAGAATGACTCAAGGAAATGATGTTGAGGAAGACTGTTTTTACAACAGTGTGGACAGGGTGGATTAGAGAAAAAGTGGTGGAGGCAGAGAGATCAGTCACAGGCAAAGCCCTAAATTAATATCAAGGCAGTAGGAAGGGAAAGAGAGAAAGAGGATTGAACAGGTTTCGGTGATGGATGAGCTGTTTCAGGAGAGAGGTGAACGGGAGACTGAGAAAGCAATGTCATATGTAGGATGATGGGATGGGGTGCAGAGATGGAGTTGGGGTGAGTGGATAATGAGTTCTATTTGAGGCATGATGAGTTGAAGAGAAAAAAGAATCACTCGAGCAAAACCATCCAGCATACATTGAACAATGCAGGACCATGGTCAGAGAGAGAGAGAGTCATGGAAGAGAGAGTCAGCACCCATGTAAGGGAACGATGCCTCCGAGGAAGAGGGGTGGAAGCACTGAGTCTTAAACCAGGAGGGATTGGGAGATATGGAGCTATCCCGGAGGTTCTAGTTCTTTCTTTTTTTTAATCATATTCAATACTAAAATATATATTTTTTAAATTCACATTCAAAAAAGAAAAAGGAACTATATGGCTTTCCAACATAAATTATAGGAAATAATGCTGAAAAAAAATCTTAACTGAGAAGGGTATAATTAGCAAGAAAGGAAATGGAATCTATGTTGGGTATGTGTTCTGTGTTTGGCTGACAAGGAAGGGGTTAAAATGAAGATGGGTCGTCTAGTCACCCTCAGAGAATCAATGGACCCCAGGTCACACTGTGAGCCCTGAAGCCAGCACCCTGGCTGGGTCTGGAG